CACCAATTACTGATCCTCAGTCAGCCAGTGGGTCCCGATTCCCTCCACTGACCAGCAGACATATTGAAAACCCCCTGGGAGATACATCATTTATGTGATGTACACAAAGACATTAATCAAGTTTACTTCTCATGTTCACTTAACTCACAATTAACCAGTAGCTACTCTTAGATTTATGAGATAAAAATGGTCATCTGAAAAAACGACTTATAAAAACTCAAACATTTCTTTGAGGGTGTGGTTCATTGTCCAGCTGCTGCTCCATATGGCGTTCTGGGTAAAAGCCAATTATAATAACCAAGGGCAACAGTGGTGTCTGCATGGCTCTATTCTGTTTTTAATCGGGTTTCAGTTGGTATGGAGATTGGGAAAGATACTGTAAGTACACAAGTTCTCCATGCTAAGAAAAAGTTGAAGGAACTGAAATCGGATTCAGTCCTGCTCCCCACCACAGCCTGGCTCCCAAAAGCTTCTCTTCCCAAAACTGTCAATTAACCTAAACAAGCCAAATGTAACCTAGGAAAAGTTTAAACCACATAATGGATCAAGACAAACTGAATGTAGGTCTGATTTCACATGTTGGTGCACACAGTTTTTTTCTGCGTAATAAGTCAAATATTTTGGGTAAATGGGAGTTTTTGGAGGGAAAACTGTCAAATGTTTCTCCCGTTTTTATAAACACTCTAAATGATTACTGATGAAAGAAACTGAGAAAACATATCAGCCTACATCAGTCTCATATTTTACCTGCCTTCATCTGTCAAGTGAAAAGATTTCTTCCCGATCATAGTGAGCTTATAAAATCCTAGCTCGGCATGTAGCGTCTCTCCTGTCGGCCCGCTGTCAGTCGAGGAGTCAATCACACCGGACTGCAGTGAGGAGAAATTCATCAGCTGGTTCAGAAGTAGTTTAGTGGACTTCACTGACAGCCAGAACTGAGAGCGTCGCAGCACCCAACAGACTGGAACCGCTGCCTGGCCTCACGCTGCTTCCTGTTTGGTCTGTTTCTCTCTACCATAAGCGCTCCAGTGACGTCACTTTGAATAGTTTGTGAAGTTAACAGCCTGCCATGCTGTTGCCCCTAGATTCCTCTGTGTACAATTACACCAGTGTTAATTTCATCAACGAAAACTATGACGAAAAATGTTCGTCAACTACCTTTTTTACATGACTAAGACGAGACGATGACGAGCTAAAAATAGATTTTTCATAATAAAAACGACTATATTTTGTTTTCGTTGACGAGACGAGATGGGACTAAGGTGTTAATGGTGGACTATCGGACATTCAAAATGCAGGATATTTTCCCCCAATTGTCCGTCTTGTTTGTCAAAAATGCATCCCTGTCATTGGTTGAATTAGTTGGGATTCTGAATCTGCACACGTCACTCATATTACACAAGTAAAGGGTTAAGAGAGTGAAATGTTGCTTTACGAATTTTCAAAATTAACACTGAATTACACAGCTTAAAACATGTCACCCTAGGTAATATGTATGCCAACAGATAGTATAAGCAGGTTTACTGACAGGATTAAAAGTCTAAAAAATGCTACAACTACTGTCACAAACTGGATGAATGTGAAGTATTTTTATGCCTATAATAGCTACTAACTTGAATTTTTATTCAAATTAATTAATCAATTATTTTTTATATTTTATTGTAATGTAGAGACAAGGCTTTTAGTGACAATCATGTATTGCGTTAAAATTATATGTAAAAAAAAAAAAAAATAAATGTCTAAATATGATATTTGGCCTCAAATCATCTGAGGCCTGGCGCCCCCCTGCGATCCTTGGCGCCCCCCAGGTTGGGAACCACTGCTATAGAAGATATATACACCGATAAAAACAAATCCACTCACTTCAGATACCACCGCATCTTTATTACCCAGATGGGTCCAATAGACTTTTATGACACCTGACAAGAGATGAATTCCATTAATGAACATCGTGTGTGTGTGTGTGTGTGTGTGTGTGTGTGTGTGTGTGTGTGTGTGTGTGTGTGTGTGTGTGTGTGTGTGTGTGTGTGTGTGTGTGTGTGTGTGTGTGTGTGTGTGTGTGTGTGTGTGTGTGTGTGTGTGTGTGTGTGTGTGTGTGTGTGTGTGTGTGTGTGTGTGTGTGTGTGTGTGTGTGTGTGTGTGTGTGTGTGTGTGTGTGTGTGTGTGTGTGTGTGTGTGTGTGTGTGTGTGTGTGTGTGTGTGTGTGTGTGTGTGTGTGTGTGTGTGTGTGTGTGTGTGTGTGTGTGTGTGTGTGTGTGTGTGTGTGTGTGTGTGTGTGTGTGTCCTGTGACTAATGTATCATATGCAGCAGCAGGGTCGTCTATAAATAACAACATGATGTTCATTTACTGAGCGGGAGGGGTGACTTGTGTCTGGGCAGATTGATGAACGGGTGGAGTGTATGTGTGTGTGTTGTTCCCCATTCTCTCGCTCGCATGCTGTAGCGTTCGGTCAGTTAGGTTTTATGTGAGACAACAGAGTAGACTTTAATATTGAGCCCACACGCACACAGAGTGCCTGAGGCAACCGCAACGATCTTTCTGGAAGTACACAAACCTTTCTCGCCAATTTGTGCATTGTGATGGCCAATATGTGCGAACCACATGCAGTAAGGGTGAAACTTCACAAAAAGCTGGGAAACAATAACAACAACAACAACAACAGCAGAGTGAGTGGGCATGCTCTGACAGCCCGATGTCAGATTACAGCAGAGAAATGCAGGATTGAGTAACTATCCACAGTAGTTAATTATAAGTGTTTATTCCTTTACAACAGTTAAGAGTCTATACTGTAGAGTGAATTCTGAGAACACTGAACATACTTTTTCTTTTAGCTTTCATTGATATATCATTATTGTGCCTCCATCTTTTCCAGTACAGGTCTTGGGTTCAGGTGCCCTGCCTTGTGTAAATGCCTAATTTCCATAGCATGGTTCGACTCCCTTTTAACTCTGTTTTAGTACCTGGTCCTTTTCTCTATTTCTTTCTCCACTGCAGATAGTATCCCTTCAGTGTAGGCGGGATTAGCTGGCTGTCGTAGCTAAACCGCATCAAACTGCCCTGACATCATCTTCTCTGCTTCTCTTCCTTGGATGCTTTCATTGGCAGTCAAACAGAGGAACATCTCCACTTTGTCAATTGTAGGCCATGTTGAGGTTCTGGGTGCTCTCATCTTTAAAAAAAATCTAGGTCTAGTCGACAGTTCCATTTTATTACAAAAAGTGTTCATATTGAGAGGACCTTGGCCTTTTTAAAATGGCAGGATGTTCAATGTCGTGCTAATGACTTCTGACCATTATTGGTCTGCAGTGTTTCAACTCCACATAATAGTGACAACTCCGCTCATTTAGAAACTCAACTGAGGTCTTACCAACAAAAGTACCAAGTGACTATGAACAACTTTTGCTGATGGAAAACCGAAAAAACAAACTGTTTCAAACAAGCCATGTTAAGGAAATGTGTTAACCACACAATTCATCTCGAACACAATACACAAAAAAAGTAATAAATACAAAATATATATAAATACAGAAACTTAAAATAATCAATATTGTTGTGAGTACATAGTGTGTAGATGTAGGATGATGGGGAACATGCAATCATACGGTTAAAATATAAATGTATGTTAAATCACATGAACAAAATGTGATATTGACTAGCATGTTATTTCTGTCGGCTCTGCAGCGTCAGTATTCAGCTGCTTCTGATTCATCAATAAGGAGTTTCTGTCCTATTAGTGTCCAGTATCCGTCCCTTTCTTATCTGATTGCTGGTTATTACTTGACATTTTGAATGTCATTGTCCTGCAATGCTTCAACTAGAATAAAAGCAAAAGCAGTTTTCCCACCCTGACTGCAGGTACAGTACTTTGAACAATACCCCTCTGTGCTGCGGCAGAGAGGAGAGAGACACTTTAATGTTTCCTTCTCTGAGAGTGAAGAGCCTTATCTGTAAACAGGTGGCAGTCACTGTGTGCTGTTGCCTCAGTCGCCTTTCAGTCTTCTTTAAAAAAGGAAAATAGGGATAAAAGCACAGCAGAACTAAGGAGTGGTTATATACAGTATAATATAGACAGAAGGAGACTTTGAGGTGTGTTAGTCCTCTGTGAGTTTATGAAAATGTTGTGATTAACGTGCCTGAACGGGGAAGTTCGCTTAGGAAAAAGGAGTGAGCAGCGTTCTCCACATTCCCAGTTTTAATGGGAAAAAGCACATGTTCTCAAATTTGCGCGCTAAATTTCAAGGTAAAAATATAAATAATAAATCTACATTCTTAGCATTTTTTTGGTTTTCTTATTATACTCAGAGCTGTAAATATCTACTTTCATTACCTATTAATCTTGATTGAATGTTTGAACATTGCTCAGTTTATAACCAAAGCACAAAGATATGTATTTCCAATAAACAAACTCACAAGTGAATCCTCACATTTGTTAGGCAGGGATTATCATTTCGTTTTTGGTTTGTTAAACCTTTTGTTGACTGAGTGACTTAAACAAACTATTCCCTCAAACGTTATTACGGTTTCAAAAGAGCTCAATTTCAAGTTTTTATGTAATTTTCAAAGCGGACCTTTTTAAAAACTGTGATAATTGCAGTGATCCTGTAATGAAAGCATTGTTTTCATAACTATTTTTTTTTTTTTCCCGCAACTGCCTCTTTGTCAAACTAATGATTTCCTTCCCGTTGTCCATGAGTGCAGGGAGGGAGGTGCATGCAGTATAAACAGACTGAAAAGAGGAAAGGCTGAAGTGTTTCTCTGAAGTCCGTTTTATAGCTCAGTGCAATGTGCTGTGTTCAGTCAAACACACAATCCCTGAACTTTGCAGCATTATCTCCTAAAGACAGCTGTGCTGAGGACCTCTGACTCCCATGTGCTTATATGGGCGAGCTCACTCCTCCCCCCCTGCATTTCTCTGCAAATGGTACAGTCCATTTAAAAAGGTGCTTGTCGTCTCTCAATGCTCTGTGTCCTTTCAACAGTCAGCTGCAGGGAGCACATTTCACCGGGGCAGTGCTGGCTCTCTATAACACACACACACACACATACACACACACACACACACACACACACTCTCATGCTGTTACGGTACTCTCAGGCACACACACTAACAGGCATGCTTGCACACTGACACACTCACACTACACATACATTATCTCTAGAGCGCAAACTTCTTCCAGCAGTTACACATTTCCCCTGAGCTGGATGGGGAATGGACAAACTGCTCTAAAGGATTTAACTTGGCTTTCTTATAAAGAAAGGGGAGAAAGAACAGACAGAAAAGGAGAAGGAGGAAGGATTTATTTGGGGACACGTTCCTTCACTGGACATGTACAACTTGTCAGTATGACACCTTGTCCGGATTCCCCTCTCCTCCTCAGGCAAAAATCCTGAAAATGATGGATGACAACAAGCAGCTGGCTCAGCGCATCGATGGGGCCATTCAGTCCGCCAGCCAGGAGGTGACCAACCTGCGGTCCGAGCTGAGCGCCACCAGCCGCAGACTGGCCGAGCTGGGGGCCACCGACTCGGGCAGCATGCTGGAGACCCTGCAGCACAACCACAACGGTAGGACAGCCCCTCGGAGAGTGGAGTGAGACTGACTGTGTGCGTAGAAGCTGCGAACATGTGGGGAAGGATGAGTGCACTCTGATGCAGCGCTGTATGATCCCGCTGTGTGTGTTCCTGCATGTCATGGAGTTGAACAAGCCTCTGCTCATGCCTCTTTCTGTGTAAAGTTAGCAAGTGAGTTGAACAAAAGAGGTGAGGGGTTCCTGCTGGCTTGTGTCCACTCTGAGTTCTCCCACAAATCCCCTCTCATGTTGAATAATTAACCTTGTGAACCTTTCAGAGAGGGGGAGTGCTGCACTTTAGTGAGGGCAGAGTGGGTAAAGTTACAACCTCTTTTCACTGTCGGGCGCTCGCATTCGGTTCTCCCTTAACTGGGCAATGGATCTGTGTCTCTCGAGTAGGAAGGGAAAAGGGGGCTGGTTTTAGGGTTGCCGTGGGTTACTGTTACCGAGAGCTGGTTTGAATGGCTGCCCAGTTTGTAGAATGCTGTCCTCTGTGTGTGTGTATGTGTGTGTGTGTGTGTGTGTTGTGGTGCAGCTGCTCTGTTTGTCCTTTTCTAACTTTTTTGTCCTACACTGAGTTTTGACATATACAAAGGTAACAGATGTGAGTTTGTGTGTACATGCATAAGCACGGGTGGCATCATTAGCATGTGTGGGTATGTGTGCCCATGCTGTCATGTCCTTTCAGCTTCTGGCACACACATACTCACACACTCTTGCTGTTTCCATAGCAGTCAGCTGGTACGCTGAGCCGGCTGATAGGATACGTTTCTTCTTGGCTTTGGGAGCACTCTTCTTTGAAACCACATATCTTTGGGATACTTCTGAGTTATTTGGTCCCCAGTTGACCTCTGCAGTGTTTTTTTTAAAAGAGGGACATACACAGCTGGTCAGGAACAGTTTGGTCATGTGTCAGCATTGTTTTCAATGGACTGCTGCTGTTGCTTTGTTTTTCAGCTTTTTCTTTCAGCTTGTGTGTGTGTGTGCCTTGCGGTATCCCTTTAACCCTGATGCACGCTCACACTCCTGCTGTTTCCATAGCAGTGTGTGTGCCAGTGCGAGTGACGACAAGCATTCCTCTGGGAGGGTTTGAGCACTGATGTCATTGTGCTTGTAGCTGCTTCACTGCTTAGCTGAAATGATGCCTGAGGTGTGCATGTTCAGTGGTGGAATCACGTTCATCTGTCGAGAAGATTCATAAAACATATTTATTCTTATGCTCAAAATGTTTCGGAAATTATACACATTAAGAAAATGGCATCTACGGTTTCTGTACATTCCCCATAGAAATGGATTTTGTCAGACATAATTGTCCAGAAATATGGTGCTACAGTAAGTGAGTGCCCATTTTCTCAACATCAATGACAAATGCCTACATCCTTTTGATAGTAAAGACTATGGTTTCTGATTCCTGGCTTGGTTTGGCCTGTATATCTTTCCTCTGTCATTGTCAATAAGCCTTTTTTTTTTTCTCTTCACACCCATCTCTCACTGTCTGTGTCAAGACAGCCCTTTCTCTCTTCCAAGCTGTTCTTTACAAGCCCAGGGTGTATAATAGAAACGGCTGGGGATAGGGGGGATTAGGTAATTTATCACCAGTGTCTGTGTTGGGAAGGGAGGTGTGTGCTAAGGGTCGCTGGTTCATTGCACAGCTGACAGTGGGAGTCCTGGGGGAGATTTGCTGGGGGTGCTACCTGGCACATCACTACCAACAGAAGTAACCTTGCTAGCTGGCTAGCTTACCTTAATTGCATTTGCTCTGCCTGGGGGTTTTCATCTGCATGTTCTTTTCATCCCAGCAAGTATAAATGTTCCGATACCAGAGATTAGGCCATACCAATTCCCAACAGTATTACACAACATCATAACTGTAAATCCAGTGTACTTTAACATAAACTCCTTTATAGCAGTTTGCATGCTTAGTAAAACAGGTCATACTTCCCTCTGTATTTCTTATTTTATATTGCTTTGAAAACATCTCCTTCTCAGAAATGTATCTAATGAAGGTTCCCGCCAAAAATGTTAACATTATATTTAACCTTCACTTAATAATGTTTTTAATAAATAGCAATTGAAAGCATCATAATCTATCACAAAGGTACCTTGTTTTTGCCACTAATGCTAGCTGTTAGCTCCTTTATTAAGCCAAGCAGGACAGTGCTGCCCACTCAAAGCTAACGGCTAACAACTGAAGTTAACACGCTCTTCCCCTCTTGATTTCAACACAGATTTGTTGTTCACAATTTAGTATTATCGGGGAAAATAGGTTCCAATGACTCCAGAAAAAAAATCATTTTCATCCCAAACAAATGCTATGTCTTAATGTTGACGACTGGGAGGACCTTGGTCTCGAGCCAGCATTTTGAAATCAACATAACCTTTTTAGTAAAGTATCGTTTTTGTACCATCCCTTAATGCAAATACTTTATATATTATCTTTCTATGGTGATATAATATATGGAGAGTCTTATGCTTACACGTCTTTTCTCAACAATATATAAGAATACCCGGCCTCCACAACGCTCTCTTAAAAATCGTACTCCTTACTGTATCTCTCCTCTGAGCTCACAAGAATACTCATGTGGTAGTCCATGAGCCTCCCCCTAGACATTAAGTGGACTACATTTAGCTTTGGCGCTGCTTGTTTATTGAGAAACTATAAAACTGGCTCTAAACTTCTGCCTTTGGCCCAAATTCATGCCGTTCTCATTTTCTCTTTGAGAATGAGAGAGGATGTGACGTCCTGCTCCTCTCTGGAAATCAGACCATTGAGTGAGAAGTCCATTCTAGTGCTCATTTCATTGTCTCTCATATAACTTCTATGAATCTTTCTGTAAATAGTCGCAGTTGAGAAGAAGGTTTTTTTTATCAAAACGTAAAAATAAAATACAACAGAAGAGGCTAATGAAACTATATGTCTAATGTCATTGTAACATTAGGGACTTTCAGTCTGCTGCTGAATGGGAATAATCCTTAAGAGTTGTCTTGCTCACCAACCTACAGTACATGTTGTACATCACATAAAAGCATGTTTTGTGTTGTGCCTTTTGATTTTACAGTAAGAGGAAACTGGTTTACAGAGAGACGAGGATGTAACATGGATCTTGTTGCGATCAAAAAAGGGACACTGTGGTTATATATTTTCTTTTGTGCAAATTGGGACACGGATCAGTTTTATAAACTTTGGTCAACTACTCTATTGTTTGCTTTCCCCAGAGAAACAGTGACAATGTGTGAACAAGCAGACCTACTTGAAGGTCAGTTGTATTGCATTTATTGACCCATCCATTCTGATACTTTCAAGTATTTAAGTCAAGCTTGGTTGGTCAAGCATTCGCAAGATTATTGACTGCGATGCTGCCTTAACCCAAAGGGCATGCAACTCTATCTGAACCTCATCAAAATATATTACACGATGTCTGGTAAATCATTTGAGTTATAATCCCTGGAATAATTAAAAATACAAAAATATATTTACCTTCAAGGATCCAGAAGATTAAGAATGATTCGGGCCTATTAGCATAGAGGATTTGCTGTCTCTATACATCATTAATGAGCAGACAAGCGCTGCATGTTTAAATGCTCCTGAGACTACAGTTTGATGGTGTTCTCTAATTCTGTTCACGGAAAGCCTCCTTGGCCATTGCCATTAGATATTAGTCTATTTGTTTAAAGAAGTATCTCCATCAGAGGTGAAGAGAAGAGCAAATAAGACGTGACGCTTTTAATACCATTAGTCAGGGCTTTAGGAATTGGAAGGAAATAGGAGCCAGTTCTCCAGACCAGCCGCAGCGCAGCCTGTTGCATCAGGTGTTATTATAAGGTTTAACCTCTATTTCAAAAGCACCTTAAAGTAGGGCAGCTGACACCTCTCTCAGACTGGCCCCACCTGCAGGCTCCAGGTCGATGCAGCATTGTGATGGCCAGCCATTCATCAATACAGGACTTTGAAAGTGAGAGGCTAAGCTTGTATCCACTAGCTGTACGGCAGACACGCCAGGCATCTTACAACAGGAGAAGAGCAGCACATTTCTGCCTCCTCGCTGTACTTTTGAGTACTCGACAGTTTAAAAACTGTCACAGAAACATCTATCCTCCCTCAGTTTTACTCAGCGTGGAACATAAACCGCACACACTGCCTGTTCTAAACATTGTCTTCCCATATATAACATGGCATTTCAGGGAACATTTTATGATTATAATTGTTATGCTCTGCTCAGCGGGGTTTCCGTGATTCTGTGTACAGCGTTACCACTCAATTGTCAGTATATAAGAGAGAGACTACTCGCACCGTAAGTTCTTCATTAACATCATGAAGAGCTTGGACATTTGTATTCCTGCAGTGTGCAGAATACACACGTGCATGCACTCACACGTGTGACATGCATCCCTTATTCCCACTCTGACAATCAACACTTACCAAAAACGAATGTTAACTAGATTTAAACATGTAGAGCAAGTCAGGGCTACTTATCTAAACTAAACATTTATTTGAGTCAATATTAAATTATTACAAATACAGATAGGCTCTATTCAAACGCTCTACTGTTTTAGACTTACCATTTATTCGAAAATATATGAATTAAATACAGGATTTGCATAATTTGGAGAAACACTTTTATATCTCAGGCTTTTGAAAATGTCAACAGGCTCTTACATTATGGCCTACCCTCTTTAATTAAGATAATGTATGCAAAAGAGTCTTTTTTTCCAGAGTTGCTTCAAATGTCACCACTTTCTTGTTAAAAGTATAATTCGAGCGCTTGTTAGTTCCATTATATTGCACTCATTTTAATGAATGCATACCAATAGCCGTGGAAAACAAGGGTGTTAAATAAATCCTAATGATTTTGGTTTATTTGAGTAATTTATTATATTTAAAGTAAATATCAACTTACATAGATATAAGTAGCCTAGTTATGAATTATATACTACTACTTCAAATATTTGTCACATAAGGAACAGAGGGCAACATTTTTGGAACTCAATCTGTAT